TAAATGCAACACCATGATATTGAATATAACCTCAAGTCTATTCACCAATTTGTTGATTTCAACAATTGAAATTCCAAGAATTAATTCTAAATATCATGTTGTTGCATTTGAAACTGATTCGAATATTGAAAGAACCAGTATAAATTCAAGGATGATTAGGGATGGAGCCAATGCAGAGTACATATTTGTCAGAAACGTCTCAGGCATGCTCTATAGAAAGAGCTATGTAGAGTCATAGTCATCACTGTGATCTCACAGGAGCATATCTTATTCATGTCTGATGTTGCATCACTGATATAAGTCAGTGATTTCATTTGAGGCGGACATTCATCCATGCTATATCTCTGATGGAAACAACTCTGTGATGAAACATGGAACATCTGAAATGCAGCAGTGATAAAGCTGCTGCATGTTTCGATCAACTGGGTATTGGCTCTCAATCAGAAACCAATTGAACATAGAAAAATATATCAAGTCAACTCCTGTGGTGCTGTCATTGACTACTAAATCACTCACGGAAGTCGAGGTATTGTTGAAGCTGGCTTCTTTTACGTGGGGAATGAAACATGTGTGAAAGAGCATGTTCACAACAAATTTCCCTACTTAGAAAGCAAAAAAAAACAACAATCCCTTTCAACATATTTTAAAATTCTTCATTGATTGTAATGTTATTCCGTTCGTCTGGTAAGCTCGGAATATGAGATAGTAATAGTCGATTTGAAAATATGTGTCATTTCTGAGAGAGTTCTGCTTTTTAGTTTCAATCATGTTCTGATAATATCATCACATTTACATAATCCGATCTGTTTTCATAAGTGTGCTCAAAATGGAGTCAATTTGGCAAGTCTCATGTCATTTTTGTGAGACACGATGCGGTCTATAATTTATCTTTTTGAAGAATATTTTTTTTCTACAAGCGTGCCTGATTCACCCTATACCCGCACGCAATTTGGTTTGGGAAGTGTCATTTACCCGCAACATTGCGGAAAAACGTTTCCCACACTAGTGCGGGAAATTTTTTCCCGCACTAGTGCTGGAGAAACAAAGATATGATATGACAAAATATAAGTGGTAGGTGATGGAATATGAGAGTTTGAGTTTGTTTGTTGCAGTATTAAGTATGTATGTCCAGAATCATCCATCTAATTGCACTATTTATTGTGAAAATTAAGAAAAAATATCGAAAGTGTCTTTCCCGCAGTCGACTGTTTGCCCGAACTCCGCTTCGCGTCGTTCTTGTCAACGCCAGTTGCGTGCGGAAAAGAATTAATATCTTTCCGCACTTACTATTACCAAATTGAGTGTATATTGCATACTAGGAATCACAGTCTGATCACTCATGTCATTCCTACTAGAAAATTAATTATGTATACTTTATATATTATCTGTATAAAATGTATCAATAAAAAAAAATATGATGCAATTACTGAAAATAGAAATAAATAAATAATAAAATAAAATTCCTTGCTCAAAATGTATAATATTATCATTTGACTCATGACACTGTACAGAGTGTAGTCCATGTTGTAAAATTTCTTGAGCAGTGATATTTTGCAAGTTTTACCTAAAAATGTCAAGTATGATGAAACGAGATACAAGAGTGCGGGTACACAATCCTCTCCACTATATACATAATATATTATGTATAGGTAAACTATACGTTATCTAATGATGAGGTGCGATCGCCAGAATTAATTCACATGATATTTCTAGCTTTCATATTTTCATTATACTGAACGAACAATTTGAGAAAATCTACCATCGTCCACTTTTATCTCGTCTAGGGTCTCATTATTTTCCACCACACCCCTCTACTGATTTTGTTGTCCTGTTTATCTATCACGATCACAAGTGCATTCGTTTGTTTGACAATAGGGTGAACGTTGAAGTGGCCCTCAAAAAGGGGTGAGATTTTTATATAATCGCATCCCATATGTTAGTGAAATCATCTTGTACCAATGCACATACTGTTTTGAATAGATGATAAAGATGCCATCGAAACATTGTAATGATAGGAAATATTTATATGTGGAACAGAGACAACTAGTTTGTTAATATTTGTTTATTTTACATGTATAAACTCAAAAATCATTCGACAATAACGAAATAAATACTTTCAGAAATAAAAATATAACTGTGTATGAAAGAAATAGAAAACGATGAATCTAAATATTTACAAATTATACAAATTACCAATTGTTCATTGAATACTTTCAGGATAATAATGACAAATACTTTGAAATATATATGGTATCTTTTTTTTACAAATGACTGATTTAGAAAAATGTTCTCTTTGATTTAAGAAAAGCTAATATCGTATACTCTTGAATATTGGAATGAAAATAAGACTTTTCCGTATTCGTCACTACATTGCTCTTGATCACTATTATTTACAATAATGTCTACAGAACCCATATGTACTCATAGGTATTTGAAGTGGAAACAGATGAATACCAAATCGTGTTGAATATTGAAATACAATGAAAATATTACCCATCTAGTATGCTACGATATGACGTTTTACAAAATATATGAAATTGTCGTTGTGTAACCACCACGTCACTTTACAATTTTGTACAGGTTTGTTAATATATACACAGTTCATGTTCTAATCTATTAATTTTGTATTTAAGAAATCCCAGCTCTAAAGCGATATGTATTTTTCATTATTGATGTAGATATGATATATAGAGTTCCATACAAAAATATACGAAGGAAAATCATGGATAAGTGAATAAATCATATGAGTGGTATCTCAAACGCATGATGACAGAAGTAGAATTCGAATATTAATTACGCTATTTATTGATTCGCCTTCGTATACAGGTATTTTTCGATTAGAAATATTTCCGTACGGTGCAGAATACTTTCAATCGTTAGATGATAACTAAGCAATTCATAAGTATTTTGTGATCACAGTTTATTCAGTATTTGATAAGAATTCATTATATAGAGTTCGTAGAATTCTTTACCCTATAGATAGAACATTATGTAACATCAGAAAATTATCATTTCATCGACATATAGCATTTATGAAAACATATTACATTTTTTCAATCCATTTGATTGAGAATAATTTGGATGAATTCAATCTGAACATTCCATTGTAGGAGTTCAAGCAATTTCAAAATCTGATGAAATAAACGGTTTCATTTTTATGTACAAAATTAAACAACAATCGATTGGGTGCTTGGAATGTAGTTAGAGAATAATAGATAAATAATTATAATGTATTAATCCGATGTGAATAATCAGTTGTAAGGATGACATATTTGAAATAAGATGAGATCATTGGATATCTATAAATCAAGACTCAATTATCATCAAAATGACATTGACAATTATTGAATTCTGCGATAATTCCTTTTGGAACCGCTAGTATGGAAGTGTAGCTATGGATGTGATACATTCAATGAGCTTGTTTTAGCTAGATTGAATATGGCCAGCTTCCTTTTGAAATATCAAAATGTGCATGAGAAAGAGATATAAATCTGAAATGACTGGAGCGAAAGAAAGAGGTTTCTGATTTGCTTTTAAAGGAGGTATTGAAATAAGTTGTTGATGAGTGACTATCGTGAACATTGACTACTTTTTCACTTATATAATTATGGGGCGCTCAACATAGGGAGTCATAAAATACAATCACACTACATTGTTTTAGAGCTGTATGGAACAGGTCCTTCAAATTTACTCCGAACTCTATTACTTTCTTCAAATTCTTCCAGGCTTTATATTCAACAAATTTACTAACATTAGTAACTCGGTTGACTGATTCAAGTTTATTGATGTGTGTGTTATGATTGTGATCATACATCATTATGTTTTGCTTATCTCGATTTATACATAGCCTACCATATTCCAAACATGCGAGGAGTTTTTTGAACTTTATTTTTATGGGAGGCCTGGAAATAGTCAAGAACAGTGATGTGAAGAATAAGAAGAACATCCTATTCCATAAAGCCTCCTAGTATAGTTTGGTGTTTTAGGATTAGGATTCGCATGTGAACTCAACCATGACAGATATCATTGTCAGCGCAGCTAGTGCCTTTCACGGTCAGGTTAGGTACACCTAGTATACACGGTGTCCCGAAATGAGTTTGCCAAGTGGCTTCTACGAAGAGGAATAGGAATCAATGTTTCAATGAACATGAGTCGAAATATGTCTTCTAAGGGAGCTCTGAAAGGGGACACCTGAAGATGATATTACCTGAATATCTCCGAAACGACATGTGATGATAAAACGATGCAATCTGTTACAACGATTATACTTTCCATGCTCAATGCAGCGAAGATAACACTAGTCCAAAGATTCATTCAGGAATGTATAATACAGGGTGCGACTACATAAAGTATTTTTCAAACTTTACTGTATGCATATTTTTCAACAATTCCATTTCGGATTATGAGAATACACACCTCTTCACAGAAAGAAGGTGCATGTATCATTTTCGAGTAAAATCAATTTTAAAATATGTTCATCTCACATATCATGCGGAACATTACAACAAATCGTAATGGATATATAGACAAAATTATGTAAAAAACTTGGAGTTGTTTTTAATCATTTTCGTATATTACGCGCTTATATGAATTGTTTTGTTGAAAAGAGAGATGTTGTTTTTCTTGAAGCCACTATGATTCGAAAATTGACAACCTTATGCATAAGATGTGTGAGTGTAGTAACATTCTCAAATCGATATCACTTGTTAATGATTAATTTGATCGATACGCTACAAGAGCACTTTTTCGTGTAGTTGTGGATTTTAATAATCCGAAATTGAATTGTCAAAAAATATGCATACTTGAGAGTTTGAACAGTGTAGTACCACCCTGTATCATACACACCTGAAAGCAATTTTGGAATGATTTCATCCCCACTGCATTGGACATAGGAAGTTTAGTTCTTTCAACCAAATTGAATCATTTCATCACATGACATTTTGGAAATATTTGAGAAATATCATCTTCAGGTGCTCTTTCATGGAGTCATAGCTCCCTTTGGAGACATTTCGCAATTCATGTTCATGACAAGTTTCCTTTCTCAAAGGTTTTAGTCTTCGATATGATGTTACAATCAAATCAGAGATGTTCGAGGGAAAGCCATGCAAGCTCTGATATTCCAAAAGAAAATAAGGAAGAAAATTGTAGTCAGTACTTGAGTCGATGTTTCCTTTCACACAGTTTTTCGAGAACTTTCCTACTGAAAATCGAAATACCCCATGAAATCAAACTTCTCCTTCCAAACACCCAACCTCGACCTATCTACATCGCAATATCCTAGGTATGTCTTTGGTTCACGTTAGTCGGAGTACATTGCACTGTTGGCGTCCCTGTGCGAGGAGGACAAAGGGCTGTCAGGGCTGCAGGAGTCGCCGCAGGCCTCGCGCTACTTGCCGGATCCCACAAGGGCTGCGGTCGAGCCGTAGCTTTGGGAGTTGCAGGTCGGCAAAGCGAAGGGGTTCATCGAGGCGAAGGGGGAAGATACTAGGCTCATTCCTGGAAAAAGTCAAAAATTGAATGAGTATAAGCAGATATTAACTGTTCACAGTTCACAGTCAAATTAATAATCCATCTCCTCAATTAGTGTTACTCGTTCAAGATACTCGTGAACCTCTGGGCGTACTCATTTCAATAGATGGTTTTCGGCCGACCTCGTATTAACGAGTAAATTTATTGATCATGGAACGTTCATTAAAGACCCCTATCAATGATCAATTTGTCTATTAGTGCACGATTGTTTTATAGGCAACCAAACATACACCGCGTGCATTCATTGTTTATGCAATAACTTACGGAATCTGCATTTGAATCGAAAATATGAATTTCATCGAAGATTTTCCGTTAACGGGTTCACCTTTCCAAGTTTCTGACACGATTTTAATCCCTGTTTTCTAACTCAAGGAATTCATTTTCTATGTTGATCATTTCGACAAATGTCAAATGTCACTAAAGTCAGTAACAAGGCTATTGGGTGTATATTGAAAGGCGATTGATGATCTCGAACATAAACGCGCTCGCTTCACTCGCACGTTGAAATATCTCGATCATTAATCGCCCTCATTAATACACTAGTTGGTTAAATAACTATTCCACATGAGAAGATCTCCTTCGCTAGATGTGTTCAACTAATTGAGAGTCGATGTCAGTTGACTGGAAGTCTATTCGTCGATTGTCAATTCGTCGAAGTCAATTCGTCGAAAGTCAATTTGTCGAATATGCCAATTGGCCGAATACGTCAGTTGGACTGAATTGGTCGATTTTTTTTTAAATCCATATTTCACACTCGAAATATGAAGAACCAGAGACAGTTATCTGAGTTTTCTGTCTTAGTTCTCATTCCATCGCTGAAGAAAGAAGAATATTCAAAAACCTGAACAAGAACCCTATCACTAGTTCCAAACTGATGCGAATTCTAGAAGATCATATGTAGGGAATATTTGGAAACAATTGAATACGTCTACTTCGTTATAGTTTATGTTTGAATCATTCAACGATTCGATACATATTCTATTCAATTATTGATCAATGATACATTATTCGATATTATGAGCGATACTTCTCAGTAATAAACAGATTCAGTATTCTCGATATAATCTACAAAATATTTTCATTCGTTCAATACTGTCTGTAGGCTCATCGAGGAGGTGTTATATTCATTCTATTTGATTATTCTGAAATTTCTCTCCTAGTTTCTACAAAATGGAAATATGAGTTTCATTTATATATATGTATAGTAGGACCAATCAGATGATTTTTCCCAAAATGTCACTGCGTTTTCTCACATTTATCTATCAGGGAGCCTAGAAGAAGCTTGTTAGTGACACTCTGTATGGAAAAAAGTTTGAAGAGAAGAAATATGGATATATCGAAAAACAAAATCAAATTTTTACTTATCTTTGGACGTTTCGGGAACGAATCTGCTCCCGTTCTTAACATAAAAATGCAAAATATTCTTCTTCGAAAATTCTTTCTTTCTAGTTTGACACTTCTCAGTGTCATAAGGCCATGTTCTTTCTATATCAACTGAAGAAGCAGGAAGCAATGCTATTGTCTCCGTTCAGAAGCAAGGATTTCCTGATTTTTCTCTTTTGGTTATCTTTCTTTACTATGATTTCAATATCATTTCACTCTGCCACATGTTGTCCATTCTCAGTACGGATATGTTCAGTTAGCTTTGATTTATCGATATGTCTTGTATTGAGAAGCTATATAACTGAACATATCCGTACTGATAACATATTGCAGAGTGGAATAATATTGAGATCATTGGAAAGGAAGATAACAAAAAAAAAATCAAGGAACCCGCTTGCATTCTTCGGAACGGTGACAATAGCATCAATTGGTTTATATTTAGTTGATATAGATAGAACATGGTATTCACTATTGAAAACTGAACATGAGAATAGATGATTCAATGTAAACATCCTGTAACTCATTTTTATACTAACATCATCACTCATCCATATGACAACATCAGTATGATACTAAGAAGTGTCAAACTATGAGAAAAGATTTTTCGAAGAATAATATTTTGCATTATTATGTTGAAAACGGAAGCAGATTCGTTCCAGAAACGTCCAAAGAAAAGTAAAAGTTTAATATTTTTCCAATATATTTATATTTCTACTCCTCAAACTTTTTCCAAACAAAGTGTCACTGACAAGCTATTGGATTTTTCTTTTAGGCTCCCTGATAGGAAAATCTGTTAGGCAAATCATCTGATTAATCCTCCTACACATATATTGAAATACTCATAATTTCATTTTGTAGAAACTAGTAGAGTAAATACAAAATAATCAAGTAAGGTCAATGCTGTCAATGAAGATCTTGCTGAAATCACAGCCTGGGAAACGAACAACCTAGTTGAATACAACGCCACCAAAACTCAAGCCTGCATTATCTCTAGAAAGGCGGAACTCAGTATGCCCGATATTGTAATGTCTGGCTCCACCATCCCCACTAAGCCCACCATATCTATGCTCGGTATTTCCATCAGCAACACTCTCTCATGGGATACTCATGTCAGATCCATCGCAAAAGCTGCTTTACAAAAACTCGGATTCTTGTTCCGTGCGAAAAGCTACTTAACACCTCAACAGCTTCTCATGATCTACAAAGCGCAGATACAGGCCGTTCTAGAATACTGTTTCCACATATGGGGTTCAGCACCAAAACATACGCTGATGCTCTTAGATTCCATCCAGAGAAGAGCCATTCGCCTGGTGGGTGACGCCACACTCACTCACTCTTTGACATCATTGGAACATCGTCGGCGACCTTTCACTTTTCTATCGATACTTCCACGGGAAATGTTCTTCGGAAATCTCTGCTATCACCCCTTCACTAGCAATACCAATCAGACGACCTAGACAAGCCCAGTCAGCACATCCTTTCGTTGTCAACCTCGAGAGATGTCGAACAGCACTTTATCAAGACAACTTCATCCATAGAACGGCTAGGCTCTGGAATTCATTGCCTGTGGAAGTATTCCCAACAACATATAATCTCCAAAAGTTCAAAAGAATTCCAATACCTACCTCCTGTCTCTATCCTCTATAGGAACGCACGATGTTCTTTGAACATTGTAGGGATTCCCTTTCGTGCGCTCCAAGCGATAAAAAAAAATTGTAACATGAAAATTTGCCTTTACGCCATTTCGAAGGATCGTCTGTGGTAAATAGGTGCCTCGAACATATTATTTTACGCCCTTCAAAGTTTGTGGATACACTCATCACCACTGATATTTCCAAATTGTCATAATTCTCAGATTTGAAACGACAGACCTCAAAATTGAATAGGTTTTCGTGGGAAAATGTTTTCGAATTTATCTTGTTCGGTAATAAAATGCTTAAATTTCAAGAATGATGATTATCACTTATTTGAGTTACTCAAAGACTAGATGACATTTTAAGTGTCAGTTGGAGTTTCAAATCCCAATATTCATTTCATTCAATACATTCATTAACATGATATTGATATAACTACGCAATAAACATCATGTGTCTTTGTTATTACGCCAATGCTTGGGTTTCAAATAATAATAATGTCTGCACTCGTTCAATGAAGGGGTACAAAAAAATGAGATTCCATCTCTTATGAAACATATTTGTGTTCAGAAGTATGTCCACACTCTTCAAAGACCGTGAAATGGAATGTTCGAGATACTCTGGTATGAGTGGTAAAGGCATGGTCGTGGTGTGGAGAGGATAGACAGTGGTCTTACAAATTCTGCGAATTGGGACCATTTGGGAATTCGATAACTCAGCATCATAGAACTGATTAACATCGAACATGCCAACTAAATGATCTACCTAGAATTTCGAATTGCTTCTCGTAGAACTTCGAAATCTTTGGAATTCTCAGCGTTGAAAACGCAATCAAATATGGTTTGAATATCCGTATAATATGATTCAACAGCAAAACTCTGTTGTTTACTGATCATAATCTCCATGGATACTGATTAACAAATCGAGTGCAGAGTTTTCAGCATCCGAAGAAATTATTCCCAAGAACTTATAATCTCCAGGAGTTCAACAAAATTCCCAATACCTATTTTTCCTCCCATTCCTTCCTAGTTGCGCACAAATGTTCTCCGAACTCAATGAAAATTTGTTTCCGTGTGCTTCAAGAGGAAACATGAATGAAATACTTCTCGGATAAGGATATGTAGGGAGTTTCCATCAGAATGTTGCGACTAATGGCTACTATAGAGGATACTGAATTGTGATGACGATATTTCTTGTCTGAATAATGAAAAAACTATCAACTTTTATATGAAGAAGGACGCACAAGTGAATAACTCATTTGACTTCATCATTCTCAGAAGTTGTACACTGCTGCCCAAATAAATCGAAACGCGCTACATTTTTCGACTCTTGGAGTACCTATGTGCTCAAGTGTTGTTATGCATATATAACCTTCTTAACAATAATCTCCTCAAGAATCTTTTCTTCTCCCAACATAAAATCCTGATGATGACTTCTAGGAGTCGAAATATCTAGCGCATATTGATTTGCATCAAATTTGAAGAGTGACACTGTGAGTTATTTTCTTTATTATCTCATCACTTTCAATTTGAGCATGTACTACTAGCAGAAATAGTTGCATGTCTACTCAAAAACTAAAAAAACACTCAACTGATACTATAGAAAATCAAACTAACATTACTGTACGGCCAAGTGATGCCACCCGGTGACAGGTTGATGATGGAATAATGCAGGGGCGGGGGTGTGGTTTGAAGAAGGGTCGAAACCGCCGGCGCGTAGCACGGGTGCGAAGGCACTTTTTTCTTTATCTCCCTGGGGTAGATTGTGTTTGGTATAGTGTGTGCTGGCGAAGTAATGGTTTGTTTCTGCGGTAACTAAAAACGAAGCAAAAAATATGTAATTTTAAAAAACAACTGAGGAAATGATAGTAGGACAACGGTCCACCCAATCAATATCAAACGAAACTAGATAATATGTGAGATCTATTGATGAAGATCTTCAAAATAATAATATAACTGGAAGTTGTAGCTCATACTTCCATCCACAACATAGTCCCCTATGACTGCCATTTGCCTACATAGATAATTCATGATATAACTCTGACATTCCATGAAACTTTAGTGTTGATTCTTAAATAAAAACACTGAAACACACAACTGAAGTATGAAATTCTTTATAAGTTGTGAATATCAATGTTCATTGTTGGAATAAGTGGAGATTGAAATTATTTTCATTCAAATTCACGACGTTGGTATAGTTTATCCAAAATCAATTGCTGATTCTCGTGCCGCACCTGCAGTGACTTCAAAGGAAACTTCAAACATGCCGACGCCGCACAGTGTGAGATATTCTGCAATTGATATTGGATATACTTTACGACCTCTCAACAATCGAATGTGAGCATAAGTTAATGAACCTACGTTTGTTTGATATTCATAATTGATTTGTTCATTATAATGACAAATAATAAATAAACACAGTTGCCCCAATATGGAATGATTGCTCTCTCTGTAGTATTTTGTTCTCACTAGCAGAAATTATGAAGAGACAATTCAGAAGGAAAGATATAGGCTGACAATTGTTTCGAATTCACCTAGTGATATCCTAGGTGACACGTTATGAAAAACCACCCCTTATAATCCATTAATTTTTGACAGTGGAAAATTTTTTATCAGGGGATGTATTTTCTTCATAAGAGATATATGTTCTCACTACCAAATTTTTGATAGAACGCCCTTAGGAATACCTCCAGAAGAGGTATCCAATGATACTTCATTCAATATAATTATATTCCTCGGTTCTCAATTTATGAGCATCAGAATCTTACAGAGTTTGATCGATTTTTCAACGAATTCCGAATGAAGGTTCTTACAATGATCGTGAATTGGGGTATATTTCAAGAGTAGCTCCCCAAGATATTTAATTCTCATTGGTTGCGAAATCAATCACATGGCCTACTCTCGTGTTGATTTAGAAAATCGATATTTTGAGAAACACAGATGATGAATGTATTGATTGGTGTAATTTCGGACAACTATTCAAAATTAATTTTCAATAATGAGAAACTATATGGGGTCAGAAATTCACACCGTTTTTGCTGCTTCATGTTTATTTTTTCAGAGAGAGAAAATGTAGATATGTGTGTTGATTCTAGTGGAAGAAAAATCTCTTGTTGGGCTATTTATTATCTACTGTCAAAAATCAAAGAGTTTCTAGGAAGGTGAGAGCGTCTTCACTTCGCTGCCGTTATTTATCCTGAATTCTTTACTCAATCTGAGTATTTATAGGCGAATCCAGTATCAAATGGATATAATCAAATGAAGAACGTATTTCGATATTTTATCATCAAACCGCAAAGCGCTCCTTGAATTGCCATACTCGTCAAGACTTCACAAAAGCGTCCAAATTTCAACCAACACCATACGGTACAAACGATAATATGAACAGACATACATTTAACAAATGAGTACCACATTGTTATTTTTTTTTTCATTTACCAAAATCACATATTACGAACTTCGCTTCAGGACCGAGAATGAGCAAGAGATATTGAATGAAGACTTCTTGTGAACAAAATGTTATTTTTGGTAAAAAAGTAGAATGAACCCCATTGAAGTAGTTGCTGAATGAATGTCTGTTCTAAGGTATCATCGTTTGTACCATGGAAAAATAAAAAGAAGAGATTACCTTAGATCTGAGAACGAGGGAAGCATTTATTATCATATATTAATTATATAATACATAGTTTTTATGTTTCCCTACTATCTGCCCAGCATTTGTAACGCACACCTCTCCTGGCAGTTCATGTACTTTCCCGGCGTCGAGGTATTCAGTCGGCCGCCAGCCGGCCCGAACACACATTACCGGCGATTAACATATTGACTTTCAAGTGCTAATTACAGCGGTAACAAATTTCAATGCACCGTTGATGGGAGCACTTAGCCACCAACTCATATACGCTTGCTAAACCGTATTAAGGAGGAAGAGTTTTTCGAGCACATTTCAAGTATCTATACTATATAACTACTATAACTATATATTATTATGCGGAAGCACGTTTTTACCGTCACTGAAGTACTGCTCTCGTTTCAAGTGCCTCATATTTCAATAGTCGGCCGTCATTTCTCAAGTATATCTGTGTTATATGGGTTATTTATTCTCTATAATTATTCACTAATTGAAATATGACAATTCTGCTATCAAAATAATTGGAATATTCCTAATTTCATCAGAACATGAAATTATAATGTATTGTGGAACAGACTGTGTCCACGATGTATTGGTGTGTATGCTACGAGTGACGCATATTTTTCTTAAAGTCATTCACGTATGTCGAAAGCCGACGTTACAGTGTTATTGTGCTGTGTTTGTTATCATTTCAGGACTTTTCGTGTTCCAATTCATTTTTAGTGTTTTCTTGTTATAAAAATATACAGGGTGAATAAAGAAGACACGGCAATATTCAAGATGGTATTTCCTCAGATCAATTTGATTTGATAGGACACATATGGACAGATAGATGATTGACATTCGAATAACACATGAATACATTGTTGCTAGTGGTCACTTTCAATTGTTTTTGTAAATGTATGGTATGGTAAGTGGACCTGCAATAAAATGGTTTTTATTCTTCATCTAGTAAACGAAGCAAGATATGAGAAGAATTCAATGAACGAAGAAATTGTAGCTTAAGTCGCTCTATACCAGGAGATCAATTTGAAGTTAGTGGCGTCCATTTTTATCAATAAATTTCATAAAGTTTTTTCCCTCATAAAGCCACTGTTTATATTACCTTTTAGTTAGGTCCAAATCAGCTCCCTATAACTAGAGAGAACGCTGCCGAATTACAAGCGAAGCCGTGAGAAGATATTCAAATTTGAGAAAACTTTATTAAAAAAAAAACATCCTTTTGATATTGCCGCGTCTATTTGAAGAAAACCTGTATAAAAACAGATATCAATAGTCTATTATGGTAGATAGCCCTAGATCCTGATATGAGACTCACTGTAATCTTCTTGGAATGAATGAAGGCACATATATATAAAGTGCTCAAAGAAACAAGTGGACCACTGAATTTTTTGACAATTTTCAAACTGCCATAACTTTTGAAAAAATGAATGGATTTTCAATCAGAATGCAGTGCTTGGAAGATGCTGTCTTCCTGTTCAAGATTCACTGTTCAAAACTCGTTGAAGTTTTTCTGCCATTATACACCAAGTGCTCGAAAAAAGTATTACAAAAATGAAAATGTTCAAACGCTTCCGTATTTCAGGGAAATTTTTTTATTTTTCTACAAATCGTTTTTTCTGAACGTTCAAGCCAATATCTCGAAACGGTTTTGGAATTTTCCATATTCCTCATACAGGATGTTGAAAATCGATTTTTTTTCATTTTTTGGTTTTTATCGCATTATTTCCGATTTTGAAATTATGCATGCCACATTCGGAGCATTTTGCTACGCATATTACGATGGAACATCATGGAGAATGGATTCACATTGCTTTGAAGTCATCGACAATCTCAACAGAAGAAAAATTAATTTTTTTTGAGAAATGTTCAGAATTTGGCGAGATCGTGTGTTCAGTTTGATGCTGCCATAACCATATGCTATGCTAAACACAATTCCTTCATTTGGGTCGATTCCTCTGCTTAATATCTCGAATCAATTTTGTGATTTTTCAGATAAGTCAATCCAAGGGGGCGCAAGGGGGCCCTTTTGGATTTCCCTGATCAATTCAAACGATAACGAAGCTGCAATGGTTTTAAGATATTCCTGAGCTGGCATGAAGTCAAGAAACCTCTTCATTACAAGTTTTTTCATCGCATAATCGAAAATTGTTCGAAAAAGTCGATTTTATGTAATCAACACCCATTCACGCAATTAATACTACTGCAACACCCAATATAATACCTCCTGTCGAACCTTTGACAACTGTCATCATCCTACAACAATATCTTTGCTGGTATTATTGTGCTCGAAAATTATGCCGCGATTGTCTCGGAATGAACTCGAAAATGCTCTTAGACTTATTGAGAATGGTTTATCAATAAGAGCTACAGCCCAAATGTATGGAGTCTCCCACAGTGTTTTGGTGAGAGCGAAAAGTCGATTACAAGAGACCGGCATTGTGAGTTATAGGTTTGGAGGTGGCAGACCTCGAAAGCTCAGCAATGCTCAAAGCAGATATGTGCAAGTTCTCGCTAGAAGAAACCCCAGGAGAAATGCATCCTTGTTGAATGAAGACCTTCGACAAGCTGCAGGTTTGAACGTCAGTTCTCAAACACTTCGGAACACACTTCACAGAAGAAACCTTCGTGCTAGAAGGCAGGAGAGCTGTCCGTTTCTAACAGCACATCATAGAACGGCAAGACTGGAATGGGCAAGACAACATTTGGAATGGGATATGGAATGGCGGCATTGTTTATTCACGGACGAATGTAGGGTGACAAAGCATCAATCTGACGGCAGGATGTTGGTTTGGCGTCAACCAAACGACAGACATGTGGAGTTGAATATGTGTGCGAAAGTTGCTTTTGGTGGAGGTGGGCTAACAATTTGGGGCGGTGTTTCATGGCACGGAAAAACAGATCTTGTCATCTTGAGGAGGACTATGAATGCAAGGGTTTATATCGAGCAATGTCTTGGCCCTATACTTCTGCCAGAAGCTATTGCTCGAGGAAACGAATTCGTCTTCATAGACGATAATGCTCGTCCACATAGGGCGGCAATCGTTCATGAATTTATCCAACAGCACGGCATCAATCATATGGAGTGGCCAGCTAATTCCCCAGACATGAACATAATAGAACATGTTTGGAGTCGATTAAAGCTCCGATTATCAGAAAGGCAACGAATTCCAGATGATTTGAATCATTTGGAAAACATAATTCGTGATGAATGGGCCAGAATTCCACAAGATTTCATTCGATCCTTGATAGAATCAATGCCTCGAAGATGTCAACAATTATTGAGTCGACGAGGTGGACCAACAAAATATTGAATATATTTATAATGATAATTATTGGGTACTTAATTTCAGAAATAAAAACTTGTTCAAGAAATAATGATTTTTGATGCACCCAAAGTTTAAAAGCGGATCTTTCTTTTGGTTGAATTTGAATATAAAGATATTGTTGTAGGATGATGACAGTTGTCAAAGGTTCGACATGAGGTATTATATTGGGTGTTGCAGTGGTATCAATTGCGTGAATGGGTGTTGATTACATAAAATTGACTTTTCGATTAATTTTCGACTATCCGATGAAAAAACTTGTTTTAAAGAGGTTTCTTGACTTCATGCCAGCTCAGGAATATCTTAAAACCATTGTATCTTCGTTATCGTTTGAATTGATCAGGAAAATCCAAAAGGGCCCCCTTACGCCCCCTTAGATTGACTTATCTGAAAAATCACAAAATCAATCCGAGATATTGAGCAGAGCAATCGACCCAAATGAAGGAATTGTGTTTAGCATAGCATATGGTTATGGCAGCACCAAACTGAACAGACGATTTCGCCAAATTCTGAACATTCCCAAAAAAAATGAATTTTTCTTCTGTTGAGATTGTCGATGACTTCAAAGCAATGTGAATCCATTCTCCATGATGTTTCATCGTCGTATGCGTAGCAAAATGCTTCGAATGTGGCATGCATGATTTTAAAATCGGAAATGATGCGATAAAAACCAAAAAATGAAAAAAAATCGATTTTCAACATCCTGTATGAGGAATATGAAAAATTCCAAAACCGTTTCGAGATATTGGCTTGAACGTTCAGAAAAAACGATTTGTAGAAAAATAAAAAAATTTCCTTGGAATACGGAAGCGTTTGAACTTTTTCATTTTTGTAATACTTTTTTCGAACACTTGGTGTATAATGGCAGAAAAACTTCGACGAGTTTTGAACAGTGAATCTTGAACAGAAAGACTGCATCTTCCGAACACTGCATTCCGATTGAAAATCCATTCATTTTTTGAAAAGTTATAGCAGTTTGAAAATTGTCAAAATTTCCAGTGGTCCACTTGTTTCTTTGAGCACTTTATTTCGATGGTAAGTGAGGTTTCTTTTAAATTGAGCCGTGGTGTAGTTATCGCAGGTTACTCAAGTGCATTATTGAATGAAATGTTGTTTCTTTTGTTTCAATTCCACTGAATGATGGCTCAAAATCAGGTAAGGTGGGTAACTAAGGTACTACGAATATTTGGAATTGAGATTGAAGAATTAGACCCAAAGCAGCGATGCCATTTTTTGAAGCCATCTCTTTCAAACTTATTTGCAACTACGGAAGCATGTATGATTGTGAACAAATAGTGTTTCAGGTATCAAATGTTATATCTCCCCTCTTTTTATATGTTTATGGTTTGTACAGTATGGCATCTTCGAGTGAAATTTTTAACTTTTTGTAAATACTCGACAAGTAGAGCAGTGATGATGGCTCGATAGTCATAGGCGCTTTGCAATTTGATGACAAAATATTCACACGAAATACCAATAATTCCTTCATTTGATTCATCAGTTGCGTATATTATGCAACTTCTACAAATTTCCTACAGATTAGTACGACTAGAATTGGAATAACTGAAAGTATCGCTTAAAAATCTTTCCACCTATCTCGGTTCATACTCACTCGGCGTGGTGTTGAAGATGCCGGCCGACGGCGACCCCGGCACCATGTTGGACAGCTGCGAGGCGGCGCTGGTTGGCGTCGCGCCGCCGTAGCCGCCCATGCCGCCCCCCGCGTACGAGCCGCCGTTCGACGAGTGCGGCGTCGAGGCGTTCGAGCAGTACCCGGCGCCTCGCGGCGACACGCTGCTGCTCTGCGGCCGGCCCCCGTACTCTTCTAAAAGAAAAACCCTGGAGTAGAGGTTTCGTGTCAGTACAACTGGTCACACTAATGCAGTTATTTTATTATTATTATCATAAAAATAAAATGTACAGAGTGGCTGGAATTCAAGGCTCATCATTGGGATCCCGTAAACCGCAAGAGATACAGGGTCGGTAAAATAATGTCAAAATTTCGCAATTTTTTGCTATTCAAAATGCCGCCTCAAAAGTTTGGAAATTCCGAATACTTCGGAAGATATTAAAAAAAAAACAAATATCCGCGATTTCTTTTTAAAATTTTTGTAACTTCATTTGGAGTGATATGTCAAAATTTATTTCATGTTAGCATAGCTACTTTTTTTGCTTTATCCAATGGCATTGATAGATTCATGTTCCAAAGTTTCATCCTCGAGGAGCTATCATCAACTTTATTTTTTTTAAAGGTCGAAAAAAATGATTCGTTCCTGAAAAACGTTTCGGACCAAAAAGACATTATCAGTGTTATTTGATGATGGTTACGAGGAAACGAAACGTCGGATCAAAAATCTGATGATGGCAACTCGTAGAGAAGGAAAAATGGCTATGAAAATGTTGAATTCATTTTGGTCAATCTCTTATAGTAAAATCAGAGAAAATAATTTCTTAGAATTAGAAACTTGAAGAATAACTTTTGATTGAAAACTAAAATAGAGAAAGACAGAGAGATTGACCAAAATGAATTTGACATTTCCGCAGTCATATCTCCTTCTCTACAAGACACCGTCATCAAATTTTTGTTCCGACGTTTCGTTTCCTCGTAACCATCATCAAATAACAAGTCTCATATGTCGTTTGATTCAGAATTGAAATTGAAGTTTTTAAGGAACGAAACATTTTTTTCGACCATTTAAAAAAACCAAAGTTGATGATGGCTCCTCGAAGACGAAACGTCGTACTATGAATCTATTGATGCCATTGGATAGAGTAGAAGAAGTGGCAATGCTGATATGATATTCATTTTGACATATCACTCCAAATAAAATCAGAAAAAAAAAACGAAATCGCGGATATTCGTTTTTTTTTTCGAATATCTTCGGGAGTATTCGGAACATCCAAACTTTTGAGGGGGCATTTTGATCAGCATCAAATTGCGCAACTTTTCCATGATTTAACGCGTGATATCTCAATTATCTTTGGTGATGGAACCTTGCGGTTTTGGCGGTCCTGTGCTAGTTTTTTTTGTGAATTTCAAGATGGCCGAATCAGATTTTGCATAACTGTTTCCGTTTATGAGATACAGGATAATTTTGAAAATTTATAATTTTTCACCTTCTCTATATCTACGGAGTTTCTTAGCGAAAATCTCGAATTAAAATCTTATTCCATAGAGGATTTTACGCAGAATCCAGTGGCGCACTTAATTTTTTCCTGGGCTACGGTTTTGCAGATACGACTCAATCTTATGATTTTTTTAATGAAACAACCTGTATTTTGTTCCCTTCAAAATGCTATATGATGTATGGATATAACATCTTCAACAATGCTCAAGAATCACTAAAACATTGAATTTTAATAGTGGGCTATGGATTTTTAATTTGAGAAAAGTTTCAATTGACGGATAATTCTATCGATTTCTTCATGAAGATGACAAAAACAATGTCAACACTAATTAACTTATAAAACACAAACGTTAGGTACCTGAAAGCAACAAATGAATAATTAATTTTCCATTAAATTCATCAAATTGATGTCCATTTAAGAGGCACAACAATCTCTAAGTAGTTCGAGCAACAACAGACGCTGTTTTCCAGAAATTACAAAGACATCTTTTGATGATTTTGAATGCATAAGACGTATTTAGGAAGTGTGTGAGGGTGAATGGACATGAATTTGAACAATACAACGAATAAGTTTCTGAATAATTTCGAAATTCAATTGTTTTAGTAAATATTTAATCAGGTGCTTATTCTAAATTATGAACTTATTACTATTTATTTGTTGCTATCAGGTAACTGAGTTTTTGTGTTTCGTTAGTTGATTAGTATTGGTGTTGTTTTTGTCCTCTTTATGGAAAAGTCAAAAGGAATATTCCTTCAATTGGAACTTTTATTATATGAAAAATCCATTCAATCCGTTTGAAATTCAATGATTTAGTGATTTTGGAGCGTTTTTGAGATGTTTATGTTTATGAATTATCTATTATTTTGAAGGGCAAAAATCAAGGAATTCCATAAGCTGATAAAATACAGGGTGTTTCATTTAAAAAATCCTAAGTTTGAGTCTTATATCCAAAACCATACTCCGAAAAAAAAAAAGAGTACGCCACTGGATTCTGCGTTGAATTCTCTATGGGCTGAGATTTCAATTCGACATATTCGCTGAGAAACTTCGTAGATATAGAGGGGGTCCAAAACGTATAAATTTTCAAAATTGCCCTGTATCTCATAAACGAAAACAGTTATGAAAAATCTGGACTGCGAAAACCGCAAGGTTCTATCACCAGAGATAACTGAGATATCACGCAAAAGCATCGAAAACTAGACACCCTGTGCACATGATATTGATAACATATTGCTGTGCTAGAACAACTTGAAAAATGGCCAATTCAAGATATCTGGTACAATAATGCTAAGCAAAGGCTCTTTCTGGTGCTAAAATTTGAGCATGATATAACCGATATCTCACTATTGAAATATGTATTTATTCATGTTTTTTGGTTCAATAGTGTGACATGTTGAAAAGTTCTCATATCTTCACGTTTTTTTTTGTGATATAGTAGGACATTTTGAGTTGCCTCACTCTCTCGCCAGATGTAAGGATAGTTTCTATAAGATATTTTGATTTTTGAAGTTATCTCAGTATTGCATTATCGAATATACCTCAGTATTCCACTATGAATTAACAATATTCAATTTGATATGACTGCTTTTTTGAGTTATCTTGGTATTGTGCCACATGAAGATTCATAACCCAGAGAACATTCCGAATTTCTTGAAGATATCTTTGTATTGCACCTAATGAAGGTTATAACTTGTCTGTGCTAGTAATATCAGATTGGAAAAGTTTTTCATCTAATTTTTGATCCTTCATCAAAAATATACTGATAGTGAAAAACTACTCTGGGCTAAATAGAAGTATTGCGCATAACCAAAGAGTCTTCAACCACAGTTTATTATAAAGATACTTCCAATATAGAATCACAGATTGACACGTGACAAAATCTTTCAAAAAAATAACGGTGACTCAAAAAAATTACGAAGGAAATGATAAATAACCTACTGTTGCGTATATTGGCAGGCCAAAAAAAAAGATCTTTTGAGCTCACTCAATCATATTCCAGTATAGAACACCATGATTTCTTCAAAAAACTGAAGCTTTCAAGAAAGTGCAGAAGATAGAGCATGAGGAGAGTGAGTGATAATTTCCAAGTGAATAATGATACCTAGTATTATCCTGGTTTTTACACTTTTTCTCCTCACAGTTCTTTCTTTTATGCCATGCAAGAAATATTACCTAATAGATTGTTCAATTGTTAATTATTTGAGTTTGTATTCGTTTCATTTGAACTTTGTGGAAATAAATGTTCTTACTCTTCCACAGATGTTTTCATTCAAAATGACATCGAAGAACAACTTGAGAAGAGAAAGTGAAAGACAAATTATCAAATTTTCCTCAAAAATCCATGCAGTACAAGGTTATGATCAAAACTGAGAAATGATGTTGAGTTAACTGAAATTCAGAGAAATATAGAACAATACAAAGATATATTCAACAAAATTAGGAATAACGTATACCAAAAACAAAAAAAAAAATATTTCAATACCGAGATTACTTCGACGAAAAACCGAGACATCTTTGGAATATTTTTTCAGTGTGACACAAAGACATCTTACAAACAATTATTTAAAGACGAAATTGACACTTTCTAACAAAAGTGCTATTGACATCATCAGGCTTCCATATACCTTAGACACCAAAAACCATAAAATGACATCATCAGTTTGGAAAATGTGAGTATCAGCTACAATTGTAACATTAAAACTCAATTTTCTGGAAACTATGTTTTTCAAGTTGTCCTAATATTGTTCTAGCACAGCGATATCACATGTTGAATCCCAATAAGTCTACACATAAGCATATTGCATGCTTGTGTTGTACTAATCTTCAATCCGCAAGGAGCATTATGATTATACAAGATTAGTTCTTGGCGATAGGATGTATATGTATGATTAGTATATCCAAAAGAATATATAATAACTATCTGTGTAGAATATTGATGAATGGAATATTTGTGAGAATTGATACCTAAGTACTGAAAAAATAATGATATGATCCAAGCATAGCATACCTACTCATATTCATGAAATGTTACTGTATTGCCCTACTGGTATCTACACTACCTATTCTATTTAATTATGAAGCAAGGAAGGACAAGCACCTTCTGTCCACTGACCGTTTCCGTTTTCTTGAACGCTGACAGCCAGTTGACCAGTATACGCGTTGAAAGTCGAAGACATCCCGTTGTTCCCCATAGTAGGTGACCTTGGAGCTGACAGTGATAGCTGGTTGTTCCTTGGCATGGAATACAGGGCTTCCGCTAGGTCTGCTGCCCTCTTCAGGATGATTTCCTATAAAGTAAGTCATCAAAATTTGATCAGCAGATGATAAAACAAGAGTGAAAATATAGAAGGTCGCAATCAAGAATGAAATTAGCAGCGTTGGAACCTGGAGGAATGCCAGAATTGAAAGAGATGACGAAAAACCAAATTGCAAAAACATTCAAAATACTTCACAAAATCATAATAAAATAATTGAATAGGAAGTTTGATTCTGAAACTGAAATCCTTCCCAATCAGCACCAGACATCTTAAAGACGTACATTTTACGACTTACTTACGTCTTTACGTCCAGGGACGTATAAAGTACGTCTTTAAGATGTAAATCCATGTACATCTTAAAGACGTACACGAATTTACGTCTTTAAGACGTACATTTTAGGTCGTATCCACGTCGTTCCTCCCATGTCTTATAAAAGACATCTTAAAGACGTACATTCCAGTACGTCAATTCGACTTATAGAACAATAATGTAAGTTATTTTCTGATGAAAAACAAAATGTCATCTCTTCACGTTTTTTATTTTCAATTGTTCAGTTTTTTCTTATTTTCAACAAAAATTATGTTTTTGAATTTTTTCGTCCGACATTTTGGAGCCTTCGTGTTAGATTCTCGAATTTTTGCAAAAAAATCATATTCTCCGACCCCAAGAGTCCCATAGTAATCAATTTTGAATAAAATCGGACTATAATCACAAAACTCGTCGGCCATTTTGCAGCCGACATCTTGGATTTTTCATTTTCGACAAAAGGAATTATAATCTCTGATCCCGAAATCTTTCAGATGCCAATTTTGAATCAGATCAGACCATAATCAGAAAACCATATGCCACATCGTCCGCCATATTGGATCCGCCATTCTGTTTTTTCCATTCAATAATAATATCACAACGAATTGTCGGAATAATATTTACTTGCCAAATTTCGAATCAATCGGACGATTTAAAGTGAGTCAAATTTAACTTGCACGTTTTGATTACAAACAGACACAAGGACATGTTAAACTAAGTAAAAGCTTGTTATGTGATATATAGAACAAACAGAGTAACAGAAGAAGTGAATATGGTATGATCATCGAAGACAAGCAACAAAGAGCGCGGTTAGTACTTGAATGGGTGACCGCTTGTGTCTACCGTTTGATGAAGTCGTTTATTTCCCTTTTTTTTTGCTTGTCTGCACTTGTTGCTATAACTTCAGTGCACAGGTGAAAATCAACTGAAACTATGTGATTTTTCCGTAATTTGAAAGATCAATTTGAGGTCATGGACCAAAAAACACCTAAAAAAGACGTCTTAAAGACGTACATATTAGTGGAAAATGTACGTTTTAAAGACGTCTCTTGGGCGTAATATGTACGTCTTTAAGACGTACTTATGTCCCGACATGTACGTCTTAAAGACGCCTTCAAGACGTACTTTGGCTGATTGGGTTGTGATGAATAGATGTTTACCTTTGGTAATTTTTCTGGGTCGCCTGGATGCCTTGGTATCAGTTTCTGTAGCCTTTGGAATCCGTAGTCTATCGTCGGTTCATTCAGGGCTGAAAACGAGATCATGTTCAGATAATGGCAATTCCTGAGTTTTGATAATAGTATTTACTTGAATATGTGAGAAAAATATGATTCAGCACCAAGGTATACCAACTTTGTGTGAATAATTGATGTTGTCGAATTATTCACGAAGATAGTCTTGCTCGGACCCGGATTGTTCCCTACATTGATTTAAAAAAATAGGAAGTACAAATTTTCCTATTCAGAACTTAAACTTTGCGAATGGATAATTTATATTGCGAAATTATTTCATCTAATTTGAGATGTCATCGAATACTTATCGAACCTAATGTCCTTATTTAATTGATAAAGAACTTTTGTTTTATTTCAATAATTCTTTATGTGAAAATTATAAAGAATGCTGGATTCAATTATGATGAAACTATCAACAGAGAAAAATTTGTGCACATATGTGTGGGCTAACTGAATTCTGCGTTGCAAACTGTCAATTCTCATTGCATGGTCCTTCACGTATGATAATGAAGAATATATTATGAGGTGAGTCTTTTGAATTCGCGTGTATTTCACAGAAGGTAGAATTGTGGTGTTTATTGACAAAACCTGGTGGTAGAACGAATATCTTCTCATTTGAAATCAACAAGTCGACGCGGGATGTCTCAATATCACAGAATCGTACTCTTTTTGACCGCTTGGTGCGCACGGTAGAGAATTCCAAACAAACAAACAAAACAACAATCGCGGTAGGCAGACGTTGAATAGCCAGGCATTCATGGTCTTCAGGAAACAATGTTCAAAGTCGTTTTGAAAACCGTTAATGACTGTTATTCAAAATATGCCTTCTCCGATTGTTAGAGCTGGGAACATGAGAATATGAACTCAAATGTTTCTATGGATATTTCATTACCTCCACATTTTGAGACGAAACACAACTCATACATCTGAATAAAGGATATGTTAGCGTAATGATTTACCGAATGTGATACGTGAAACAAAATATTTGAATGATTGTGTGATGTGCAATTCATTTCTCAAGATATCATCAGAGTTCAGATTCATTATGAAAATATCATTGATACTTACAAACATACACGAATCGTCCAGGAGCTCCTTTACAAAATTGTTTAGATTTGTACGAGAGCGTCACTTCTACAACGCCTGGTATATGTCGAGGTGGTGTTTGGACTCGTATCGCATGGGGCGTTATCAACTGAAAAAAATTAATAAAACAATGTAAACACACTACACCTTTTTTAATTGTAATCCATAGAGTATGAGATGTAATTCAGAAAGTATGAGTAGTAATTCAGAACAGTAATTAAGAATGTGTAACTTAATTATATAAACGTAATTCAAAATAGTGAAATGTAATTCAGAAAGCGTCAATAGGCGAGGAAACAAATGCGTGAAATCAATTTGAATAAGCATATAATTGAAATACAGTAGTAACATAACATGAATGCTTCAAGTTTTTGATAAAATATGCTGTATTATTTGAAAAAACACCAAATGAATACTCTTTAATTTCATGGAATGTTCGAACAAAGCTTCGGCGGAGCCAGAGTATACTGACGGGATTTTCCGTTTTCCTGTCTTGCCAGCTGTGAAATATCAAGTAGATATTTCTCAATTCAGAATCGATTCTACTATGAACTGATCAGATAATTTGAAATTCATCGATGAAGTAAATGTCATCAATATAAAATGTTTATTGTATAGGTTGTTTCCCTTATCAATTCTCCAAGTTTGTAGCTGACATGATTAGTAATCGAGTTGGTTGTAGCACATTGTAGGTTCGATCTGCAGCTACGAAATTCGGTCTACTCCTCAATTATTCGTTCAAACGTAGGTTCACAAAACTATATCTAATTGAACAATTTTGATAGAGTTTTCAATGATATATGTTATAACATTCGAAAATCCAGTGTATGGGAAAACAGGAAAAAGTGAGTTTTAAACGGTCTTGCTCAGATCATAATAAAATATCTAAAGCAGTAAAGAATCGCTTGAAATGGATAGTGAATTATCGATTTTTTTCCTGGCTACCAATAGACGGTCGAAGTGTTAAAGCACTTGTGACGTCATTGCCGCTGACGATTTTCCATCATCGTATTCCAACAGGAGCATTTCTTTGAGAATTTATTTTAAGAAATCTAGAAGGATTGAAGAATTTGAAAAATATCCCTATGTATTTTTTCATCGTGATGAATATCATAGTAATTTCACTAAAAAATAGTGTTCTTGCCAATTGTAATTCAGAAAGCATAACTCATAATTCAGAAAGTATATCACTTGTAATTCAGGAACTAAGAAAAATCCGTTGGCAAGTGCATTGTTCTTGAGACTTGTAAGTTAATCAACTTCCTCACTATCAAAGTCATGTTTTCCTAGAAATCTATCTATCTTGAACAGAATATCGACCAGGCCAAAGATACATTATGTGCTAGGGCTGCAAAACACACCACTATTCACCATGCTGCAGCTCTGGCATTTCATGATACAGCGTCCTACGTGCTCTCTTTCGGACCAGACAAATATTTGTGTTTTTTAAAATTTTACGATATCCCATTGGGAATCTCATTTTTCAGAAATATGTCTGTTTTTACAACCGTTTGTATCGTGATGAGTCGATTGAATTTTGGACATTTTTGTAAATGCTTTATAATAAACAGGAAGCGCTATGAGATTTGACAATGAAAAAAGTTTCAGGGAATTGAGCAAAATTTCTCCATTTGACTACAAGATATCATGCCCGTCGGTCGATAAATATAAAATATTGTTGTTAGCAACATAATGAACCGATTCTCGTTCTTTTTATTCTCTACCCTTATTTGAGTCTATGGTCGTTACTGAAGTACAATTGATGCTTTCTGAGTTACAGTTTACGCTTTCTGAGTTAGAGTTTACTAATCTGAATCACAAGTTACACTTTCTGAATACCTCACAATTGGAAAAGATGAAGAAATTTATTCGAGAATGAGAAACTATAATTGATGAGGAATCACTGATGACTGGTTTGAAGAGCTATACAATCATTTCCTAATTTGAATTGATAATTCCTTATGATTATGTGTCATTGCGTTCAACAGTTATCGAACAAAATATGTTCTGGAGTGCACCTGTATATTACGGAAACGAAGTGTCGTCCTGCAAATAACTGCCTGTCGCAACTCTTATTTCTTCTGCCAAGAATACCTGCTTGTGATTCTCTGCAGCATATTTTTGAAACACATTCACCTAATACTTACAAGCTATCTGAATTCAAGGATATAAAATAAAATACACACAACAGTGACCTATTTTCGTACAATGCCTCTTCAACTTCTTCGTAGGTATATATACAGTGTGTCCACTTACCATGCTCACCATGGGTATCTTTTTAACGGTGAGAGATACGAGGTCGGTTAAATGACACCAAATGTGGAGTTTGTCAAGGCCAACTACTATAATGTGGAAATATATTTTGATAAAATCAATTCGTTTTTGTTTTATACGCAAAAAACAGATTTTGATCATTTTCATGTCTCCTCCGTAACTTCTGTATTTATGAAAATATTCAAATAGGAATTTCACATTCTCATGGCAGTTTTTCAAAGTGGTTTCGAACAGAATATAAAATTTATACCAACTCTTCTAGAATTTGAGGTATCAGCACCAACTTTCGTTTTTCATATGTAGGTCATAGCTCACTATGACTTAGTTACAAATAACTTTTTTTTCTCTCACAGATGATATGTCGCAGTATAATAGTTTTGTGTTGATTACAACGGAGTTATCGAAAACAAAAAATTATTTGGAAGCCGCCAACTTGAATTTATAAATTTCAACAGAAAATCATTGTCTCCGACCTCAGAAACTCCCACTTACCAATTTTGAATGGAATCGGACCAAATCTTGTCCGCCATCTTGGAGCAGCCATTTTTTTTAATTTCAACAAAAATTCCATAACTCCGATTAACTTGAAATTTTACAGGTGTTCATAATTTCGGTGACAATACATTATGGAATTTTTGTTGGAATTAAAAAAAAATGGCTGCTCCAAGATGGCGGACAAGATTTGGTCCGATTCCATTCAAAATTGGTAATTGGGGGTTTTTGAGGTCGGAGATCATGATTTTTTTTGTTAAAATTCATAAATTCAAGTTGGCGGCTTCCAAATAATTTTTTGTTTTTGTATACATGACGACAACTCCGTTGTTATCAACACAAAACTATCACTGCGACATATCATCTGTGAGAGAAAAAAAAGTTATTTGTAACTAAGTCATAGTGGGCTATGACCTACATTTGAAAAACTAAAGTTAGTGCTGATATCTCAAATTCAAGAAGAATCGGTAAAAATTTCATATTTTTTTCGAAACCACTTTGAAAAACTGCCATGAGAATGTGAAATTCCTATTTGAATATTTTCATAAATAAAGAAGTTACGGAGGAGATATGAAAATGATCAAAATCTGTTTTTTGCGTATAAAACAAAAACGAATAGATTTTATCAAAATATTTTTCCACATTATAGTTGGCCATGACAAACTCCACATTTGGTGTCATTTAACCGACCTCGTATCTCTCACCGTTAAAAAGATACCCATGGTGAGCATGGTAAGTGGGACACACTGTATATCAGTATACGAACATGAGAAGAAATCACCTACGCGAAGGAAAGCAATACTGTCCTGAGTCGACTATTATATATCATTCTTTCTTTCAATCTTCAACCTCTCCATGTTGCTCAATTTCACATAATGATATATTGAATATACAGGGTGGCATTGAAATAAGTGCAAACGCGGAGTTCAATCATTCAAATTGTTTTAAAGTGGCGTACTTGATTTTTTTCTCGTATTCTGTTCAATTTTTGGGATGAAATTTCTCGTTAATCAGGAGAATCAGAAAACATCTGATGTCATGAGAATAGACAGGTCGATTTCACCTTGGCGAAAGACACAATTTTCTGTAATTATCGTATCACCAAAATAAAAACCTTGAAGCGGAGCAAGCAACAACTTTCGATTTTCCATAGATTTCAAATATAATATACGCTGTATTTCATTCCATGATCGATTAGTGATTAGGATCACGAATCCAAGGATGATTTCCAGAATTATATCCGCACTACTTCTTAGGCGTCCTTGTTTTTAATTATGTATATCTATGCATTGTTTGAACTTGTTGAATGGCAAAGCACATTTCAATCGTGCCGTCATGACCGCCATTTGACCATATGGAATACGTCCATTCCCACTCATAACGCAATGTTGTCAGATCATCAATTATTATAATTAAGTTATTAAACAGTTGTAAGGGTCCTATCGTTGATTGAAACTACATACATTTTCATCCATGCAAGCCATGATATGATAGTTATTAATCTGTGACTTTTTTGAGCAATCAGCTGTCAAAATAATTTTTTCACTCCATAACATCACATCATGTGAATATTGGGTATAGAGACTTGGTAATGCTTTGCTGAATGCTGAGAACTGACAAGACAACGCCCACAGTCCTGTGTTGTCACGTTGTCCTCTTGTGTGAATAAATATGATTATATAATTAGAAAAAGGTCGAAGTCATTTCCACACAATGTTCATAATGAACAACAATGGTAGATTTCGAGAGAAGAACAACTACTTTCCTGGCTAATGCCACGCAGAACATTGAATTACGTCCTCACGAAATCTATGCATCGACTCGTATAAACGAATACTGATACAAGTGATTCTTTCCTGAATGCCTATTGATTTCGATTTAGCCAGGCCACGCTAAACACCCACAGACCGGTTTCCAGTTCTTTGACTCTCATAAGTGCAGGGTAGTCCCGAGCCAGCAGTCCTTAGACCGCCGACTCAGCGAAATCAATAGGCATTCAGGAAAGAATCACTTAATGATGAACATTGTGTGGAAATGACTTTGAACTTTTTGTATTAATTCAATATTTCATTCCACTTTAAGCATTGTGGCTATTTCGTAGTTGAAATATGTTTATTATTAACACCAATTCATCATGAGTAATAGGACACGACATAGATATAGACGGGACAAGTTTGAGACAATGGATTTTTTATAGCTTATTGAGGATATTATAACTGAAACCGGGTGGCCAGTTATATTCTGACCAATTTCAAATGCTCATATCTCTGAAACCATTCAAGTTATCGTAGTGCGGTTTGGACTAGTCTATTTTGATGATTTTCAAGTTTTTTTTGACGTGTTTATCTTCTCACTTGAACTTCCGGTTCTACCGGAAACAAACAAGCAATAATCCAGGTATAGGGCAACTTTTTTATTTCATTGAATCACCCTGTATATTTTTGCACATTCAGAAAGACTGGTCTTTTCTCTATCTAACAATGTATTACAAGTTATGTTCTTCTAGAAAACTATTAGAGTTATAACTCTTTGAAACATATACTGCTTGTGGAATGGTTTAATGAGATTATGCAATGATGTTATCAAAGTTGCCCTATACCTGAATAATGGCTTGTTTGTTTCCGGTAGAACCGGAAGTTTAGGTGAGAAGGTGAACTAGTCAAAAAACTTGAAGAATATCAAAATAGAGAAGTCCAAACCGCACAACGATAATTTGAATAGTTTGGGAGATATGAACAGTTGAAATGGGTCAGAATATAACTGATCACCCGGTACCTAGTTGAGAATTTATGAATTATGGAATAAATACTATTTCTTAAGTTCCCATTCGACATATTGCAATTGTGCTTAATGGCCTAATTTTATTTGCGGTTAATTTTTTAGCCGTTTTGAAATAACTGTGACAATATTGATGATTTGACCACCTTAAAATCGACCGAGAATATCTAAAAAAGAATATGGAATATGGAGGGGTAATTGGGTGATGATTGTATTTGAAAAGAGAAGTCCACTTGCTCCTTCCGCCAGCAGAAATGTCTTCGTTGAACTCATGGAACATGTTGAAAAATCAGCTATAGCGGAAGTCGTTCGAGGAAACCCCATCAAACTTGGTATCATTGGATTGTAATTATAATCTGTAAATCATCATTGATTCAAACATAGAGTATTCCATTTGAGAAGTCGACGCCTGACTCGCCTTAAGATTTCAACGTTAAGATATGATGAAATATGGATTTCTTGAGAAACTACAGGAAGTTGAACTGCATCAGGGCGTAGTGTTTTTTTGATAAAATTTTGTATTTCCAAACTACCTCACTTTGCTGCTGCTTCACAATCCATCAAAATTCTAGACAACAATTATTCATCAGAAAAAATAATAGTTTTCCGTTTTCGTTTCGAGATTCGTGAACTCTTATTCATTGACGCCACTGTGTACATTTTTGGCAACTATGTTAACTAATTATTCAAGGTAGAGACAAGAAGAACAAATACTTCAAATTGGATGAATTTTTATCGTCGGCAGATTGAGTACTGAGTATCTCGCTCTTGTGATGCACTTCAATACCCTGTATATAGTTTTCAATGGAAATGTATATACTAAGTAGTTATGTCTTCAATATTTCTCGACGATCTTCCACCCACTTAATTTTTCTGGAAAAAATCACCCTCATACTGAAATGACAATCATTTGACTATTATATTGAAAGCAAATTGAATTGATATGAGTATTATGTCATTTTCATAATATCACTATTTATCAAAATGCTAATTATTCAACCACTATTGGAGTACGTTTCATCCTCATATAAGTGTTGTTTCACAGTTATATGATTTTTTTGAAATGATGGACTTGATTACAGCGAAAATGGAACTATGCTGGCGCCAATTCAATTCAGGAATCTTTTGAAAATTATACAGTTTCGTATAACAGCTGATAGATATTTCTCTCGGTGCACAAAGGAGAAAACTTGGGTGGAACGTTTTGATGGGCCGCCTGGTATATATATAAAATCTTACCTCGCTCCACACTAGCATCGTGCCGAAAACGACTTGTAGTCCATCAAAAAAGTTATCTCCCACTATAATAACTGTCGATCCTCCCGCCGTCCATCCTTCGCTGGGGCTGATTGCTTTTATACAGGGCGTCGCGACAGGCAGGGGTGGGTACAGTCCTGGAAATTGGCCTGCGCATCGCAAATGATGCAACTCTAAATTAGTTGAATGACAGAAAATTATTTCGGCATACTGACAGTGGCAATTTTCTACTGTTTCATCGGTTGTTTGATACATAATCCTGCAAACGGGTTGTTTTCGAAATTGGAGAAATATATAGTGTACCAAAGATAGCGTTGCACAGTTCGAGGATCCCGAAAACATAAATACGAATTCGGTGAAATTGAAAGGAAGCCATTTCAGATATGCAGAGAGTCATTCCAAGAGACTCCGAAACATTTGAGTTTTTCAGTTTCATCGAGGAAACCTAGTCTTTGGAAAGTCAATCGAATTTTTTTCCTATGTTATTATTGGACATAACTTAAACGCCAAAAAAACTTCTCCAAGCTACTCGTAATCAGATTCAATGTGATGCGATATTTTTTTGCGACATTTCGTATTCGTGGAATCATCATCAACTCATATTTCAATGAATTCTTCTGATTATGTATTCACATATACTGGAAGACAGGCATATGAGTACATGAAGTCTTGGAAAGGAATATTTTCAGATTCGTGATCGCGTTTACTCAATTCAGAATCTTTTCCACACCGTATATGATGAACCCCAATTATTCATCGTTCACTGACAAACATTGGAATGAAAATGGCAACATTGCAATCGCGTTGAATTGCGTTTCTTCTCTGTGTGAACATGTGAAATCTGAGCCAATCGATGAAATGAAAAATGAGCCTCGAAATCGGTATGAACATAATAATATAATGATTTTTCATAATCTTTCTTCGGAGAATAAGAATCTCAACATGGGGAACTTCCCCATTTGCAGTGATTACTAAAAGTAAATATATATTCTCATGTTGAAATCGGTAGAATGTTCGTTACCATAATTCCCAAATTGAAAAAAAAAAGTTCTCAATATCAATATCGAATCACCCTTTCACCTCTCTAATTGTTGCATGTTTTTCCTTTGTCATTTGTTTCGAGGTTTCTTGTTATAATGGCAAAAATGAGTGAAAATTTTAATATTGTGAAACTGCTCCTGTTTTTTTTTATGAAACCACAATTCTGTTGATCTGGATATCTTCAGCCGTATAAAATAGTATATGGTTCAACGAGCACGGAATGAAAGTGATTTCCTACAAGAGTGAAGTTTGCAGCATGAGCCATATATATGCTGAAAATATTCGAGTAGGAAATTATCATTCCATGCAAGTTATACACTATGATTCTTCTACGGCTATAATAGATAACAGCAGCATTTCCGATTTCTTCGTCTTCCCTCTGATTTCCTATCAAGTAATGCTCATCTATTAGACAGAGCTGTCATTGCTTCACATTTGACATTCCATGAGCGATGAGTTTTTTTTTGAAATAATAGTCATTGTGATATCAGATACGGAAATAGTATTGATGACTTACAAAGTACCTCATTGACATATCGAACACAATAAAACAAGAGCAATTTTGTGTTATAGCCGTAGAAAAAATTCATATTGATATCTAGAACTCAACAGTCAACAGACTACAGAAAATGGCGAAGGCACATGCAGGATACTAACTTGAAAAATTGGCGAAGGATGTAGGAATACAATTTTTCAATTATTGATAGACAGGTTACTTGTTGAGTAAAGTGTCATCTGACTTTACCAAATCAGTGTCCAGTGTTTTCCTTTGTATGTCTTCTGTGAAATTGAAATGTGAGTTACTCTCAGGGTGGAAAATTGAGTAACACATTAATTGTAACCACAAATTGGTGTGTAGGTACCACGCACCGCGCAGTGTCTATCTCGATACAACGATGTCACTTATTTTCTACTGGGTATAGCATAATCTCACTATAGATAGAAGGCCCACTGATCACGTTGAGATATAGTATTTTATTCAACGAGCGCATAATGATGGCTATCACCCACGAAGATTGAAGTTGCAGTACGAGTCGAAGGCGAGTGCTGTAATCATCTCAGTGGGTAATAGTCCTTATTGTTTTGTTCTGAAAAATTGTTATGTTATGTGCGAAAAGAATAAATACTATACTTTATCTACAACTATTCAAATATCAAAGCAACTCTGAGAGTTCAGCAATATATCTTTGGCAATAATGAAGGTTATTATATTGCAAAATCACTAAATCTGACTTGAAATACTCATTGATTTCATCGAAAACTTATTGACAGAAATTTCAATCAACGAACAGCTTATATCTCATTTTAATGATTTTGATTGTGAAAATATGATAAACAATGTTGGATCTAACTTTTATTAACAGGAGAAAGTCGTGCAATCACATATCATCAGTCAATCTTACCAGGTATTATATGCCATTTCACCTTTCAGTTGTGATATGAATCATACTATTGCAGATTATTCATCAACTTGCTTTCGCTGAAGTATTCTCTCACCGCGATGATTAATTGTAGTACTCTGTCTCTAGACGCTAGTTTCCAACAATGAAGTTCAGTGGTTCTGATTGGTCTGTACCAATCTATTCGAATAGCCCGCACATATTAAGTGTGAGCCAATCAGCAACTGTCAAGTCCTATTTTATGGTTATGGCTATTCATGATGGTAGTCACTCTTGAGAATGAAAAACACTGAATTCTCATTTTCCGTGTATTTGTAGAATTAAGGTGATTAGAACTATGAGAACCATGTAAAGTGAGTCTTTTGAATTTGCGTGTATTTCACAAACAGTAGAGTAAAGTGGTTTGTTTTAGTAGAACTAGTAGAACGAATAGCTACCTAGTTGAATTTGTCAAGACGATGGGATGTCAGATTATTACGCCATCCTACTGTCATTTTTTTTTTATTACTCGATTAATCACAATAATGTCTGTCATTAAATGTTGAAAATCAAGTTAGCAATGTATGAATGACTCTATAGTTGTAGATAAATGCATGTACTGTACAGTTACTAATAACAATTACGATGCCAGTTGAGCAATTATGTGGTACTCGATGAGATGAAATACCCTGAATAATGTTAAAAGGTATAATTTGTAATTCATCAAAACACCTTATTCAATAATTCCAAGATCGCAAAAAAATCAGCTAACGCCATTATTCATCACTCCAGCCGAAAAACATTCGAGCCTAATCCGCAACTAACTCGATTGTAAGAACTCCCAACTGGAAACTCAACGACGTAGAATATTAAGATATTCCAGAATAGGCAAGGCAACGCAGGGCGCACAGTTTCACATGTTCCTGGATAATGCGGAACACTCTACATCGAGCATCGAGCGAGAAACAAGCGAGAACGACCGAAATCTTGACTAGGGAGATGGCAATAAATAAGAAAACAGAACGAGAAAGAAGATTAAAGTGAGTCAGTAAGAAAGCGCGCTATAAACTAATTCTGAATTCAGTATGTAGATATAGGGGTGTAGTAGAGCAGGAATACATTGTGATTCGCGTACATTTGATATCACGACATTTCGTGAGGGGATGAAAGGTCTTCGAGATGCTGTGCACTAGTGAAATATTGAAGTATATGCGGCCTCAACTTCATTGTATGATAGATGTTATCAATTCAAGTAAAATATTTCCTAAACCCGACAATTAAATTTTCACGGTTATTGAATATTATGAAATGAGTAGAACTACACTTCTTCAAGCAATTAGGGTACCTCCAAATAGTAGCCGAAAGTTGAGTAAACATTTTCGTCAAAGCTACTTGTCTGACTCAAAAATTTTTTGTTTCGAATCACAGTTTGTTTCCTTATGAACATTGATGTGAAGAGATATGGTGACAGTACAAATGTTTCTTCAGCTTTCAGTTTGAGTGTTATACCTATTTTATATTCTTGAGAAGATATCAAATTCTGTTGGAGATTGATTGTCCGAAAGATGTCAGAGCTGACAACACCTCACGTAGAAGAGAGATTCATTGAATTGACAAGATGGTGATTTGTCCACTATCGTGAGAAATCTATAAGAAATAGATGAACATTTATGAACATTCCAGAGGTACAATTATTGAAATATACATTCACAATTTATAGCAGTTACACTGGGAGAAAAGGCGATTGCATATCTATGCACAACATATTGTGAAAGATGTTTGTGAAGTATTATTCAACATTTGTTCAGATAATCACTACAGTCATTTCGTGAAATGAAACAAATGTTTGTGTATATCAATTTGTGAAATATTTGTATATATCCATGTAGCGGAAAACTACACAAAAATATGCACATCATCCAATGCACACAATTGTATTGACTAAATACACCGCTTTTGAAATAATTACACTATTTGTGCACGCGGTCCTCAATTTGTACATATTATCCAAATAGCGGAAAATTACACAAAAATGTGCACATCATCCAATGTACAGAATTTTATTGACTAACTACACCTCGTTTGAAATAATGTTACTATTTGTGTAATATTTTGCCACAGGTGTGCAATTTTCTTCCACTCGGTGACGGCGTCCTATCTACTTCTCCTTCTACATACTTATATCTCAATCTCAATATTCTGAATTGGCACTTGACCTGTAGATGTGTTACAAGAAGGTTACAAGTGTGTATGGTGCAGAATGGAGAATCTTCTCATTTATTATTGTCTGGCAAGTTGGTGAATGATTGATGATTGTACCTAATGTTCATATACATGAAAGATGTAATAAGATGTATCGATAAAGTGTCGAAGACATTCTTCTTTGTTGGGAACTGCTTGAACTCTGGTATCTACATTCGCCGGTAAGTTATTATTTAAATAATACCTAATAATAAATAGCTTCGAATTGCTTTCAATTTCAACACCCATTGAAAGCAAGTCAAAGCTAATAGCTAATCATAAGGTTTAATTGAAATAACTTACCGGCGAATGTTGATACTAGTTCAGGTAGTTCCCAACAAAGAATCAACACTTTGTTGATACATCTTATTACATCTTTTACTTTTTGCCACTAGTGAACATGAAATAATTTCGCGAAAGGACTACCTATTGTGTACAAGAAATACACAAATTTGTGTACTTTTCAGTACATTGAATTGTGAACATTT